AAATAGCATGCTTTAGCTCCATGAGGCTGCACAACAAGGAGTAGCCCAAACCTGAACCTGTAACCCCCTCAACCTTAGTGCATGTGGGATTCGATTCCAAGTCTCCGCTACAACTAGCCAAGGACCTTACCAAATACCAACTAGCCAATTGGCACCCTTCTTTAATTAAAACATCTTGGGTTGATCAATTTGACTTGTATGGTTGAATTTCTTATCTGCCACTTGGACAAAAGAACAATTCATTTTTTGGTTTTGAATAACATGGATTTTATATTAGTAGAAGCATTTGATATAAAACCAATTATTAGCTAAAAAGACTTTAAACACATGATTTAATGAGAGAGAATGGGAAGGAGTTAATACCTTAAAATTGAATGAGGTGAAAAGTAATTCAAATTACATTTCTTGCCCTCCCATTTATAGAGGGACCAAATTAAAAAAAAAAAAACAACTAATGGGGATACTTTAGTTAAGAAGAAACTTTTCACAAGTTCATTCATAGTTTTAATAGTACTATAGATTTATTATAGCAACCATCAAATGTGCACATGCATTGCACATGGCAATTTTAGATGATAATGACGATGACAACAACAACAACAATGATGATGATGATGACAACGACGACGACAATGATGATGATGATGATGGTGATATGTTTCCAAAGTTTTTTTTATAAATTTCTTATATTTTCTATTTTGAAATTTTATTATTTAATTATCACATCCTAGGGGTATCCCATTTGACCTAGATGGTTAAACCATTGACTTAACACCTAGACAGAAAAACAATTTCATTTTTTTATTTTTTTATTTTGTGTTCCATTTTCATCATTAATAAAAATAATTTTTACTTATCATAATTTTGTTTATGACGATAAATATATAATACTAGTAGGGACTCGTGCAATGCATGAGCTTTGTTAAGTGAAAGCTAAAAATAGAAACACATAAGGGTATATAATTGTTTTATATTTCAACATTTTAAATAATTAATAATTTTTTGTATTTTATATACTATTTTTAATCATTTTTTTGCAATACAAAAATAACAATAGTTATTTTCACTAAAGTTGTTCATCAAACTGATAAAAGTGACCAAACCGACCAACCTAACCAAACTTGACCCGACGTGGTCAGTTTTCTAGTATTTTTGGTCTACTTTGGTTTAGTATTTCCTTAGTAATTTCCCAACCCGACCAGGTCAAGTTAGTTTTGGTTTGATCATTTGTAAACCGACCAAAATCAAATAAACCCTACCACACACAAACACACACGCGCACACACACACACACACACACACACACACACACACACATATATATATATATATATATATTATTGATAATATTTTAATATGGGAAAGTGAAAAATTCCCAAATTTCTTAGTCTAAAATATTTTATATTAAAAATTTAAATATTTTTTTTCAATAATATCATTGTAATTTTTTAAATTAAATGTATTTTTTTAAGTTTAAATCTTTTGAACTGACCAACCAAACCAATACCAGTGTTTTCAACCTATCGTTGACCCAATTGGTTGAACCGTTTGAACTATCACTCGACCTTAATTTCGCGCCCAGTTCAATTGAAACCCGCCCTTGGGTAAAAAACCGTTGACTTGGTCAAAAACCATCCAACCCAAACAATTTAACCACTAGCCTATTCAACCCTATCACCGGGTTGCGGGTTACACATTTAGTGTATATGCAAACTTTCAGAGGCCACAACTTTGCACTTTGATGTCCGACTGAGGTGACCTTACAACTATCAGAAGATGGATCTACTTTTGGATTGGGAACAATGACTATATTTCCCTTCTTCTTCAAGAACTAGTTTCAAGGAAATCCAAAGAAGACCTTAACCATAAAAACTAGACATAATATAAACCAATTACTAAAGAGGGGAATGACAAAAGGGAATGAATGGTTGTAGAATTCTACAACCGGGACTAAGAATAAGTGTGACAATTTTAATATTATGTGTCCAATCAATATTCCCTACAACCAAGGTTTTAAAAGCCAACCCGAAAATGAAACTACTATGGCTATTGGTTTTCGGGTCAACTATTCGACCATCTAACTTGAATGGTTCAAGCGTTTTGGTAGATTTTACCCTTTATATTGGAATATTAGGGTAAGAAAAGGGATATTATATATATATATATATATATATATAGATAGATAGATAGATAGATAGAGAGAGAGAGAGAAATAGGTGCTTGTCGGTTAAGAAAGAAAGAAGAGAAAGAAAAGGAAAGGAAAGGAAGGAAGGAAGGAAGAAGAAGAAGAAGAAGGATGTATCATTCTCAGTTTCTCTTCAATCTCTCTCTAAGATCTTAGTGATCTCAACTCGTCTTAGTCCCTCCCCTATCTCTCATCCTCCTAGCTTCCTTAAAAAATTAAATAATTTTTATTAAACCACAAACCATTGCCTAGGGCTAATGGTTTCATGGTACGATCGCTCAAGTTAGAAGTTCTCTACCCAATTCAATGGTTTTTCTTTTTTTTTTTTCCAAAAAGTGGTCCAATTCAAAATCGGATCCAAAGACATGACTAGTTCCTGGGTTAAATGGTCCAATTGTCCAATCCGGTCTAGTTTTCAAAACTGTGCCTACAACTACTCTGATGTCAACTTTGAGAAAGAAATGGGAAAAGAAAAGTTAAGAATAAGGGTTTTAGAGAATCAATAAAGAAGATGGTAGTTTTGGAATTTTTAAATACTAGTAATTAAGCACATGCGTTGCACGTGAGAAATTTTTCTTCATATTAATTACTTGAATTTTAGATATATCATAATTAAGATAGAAATTGAAAATTAACATAAGTAACGATATGGTTAAAAATAAATTTAAATATTTATTGTTCAATTATGACATCATGGGTTTCTTTGAAAAGTTGGATCACTAACCCACCATCTAGATAAGAAAATAGATTTGATAGCTTTTGGATTAGTTTTAAATTAGGGAAAATTATAGTCGGAGCTTACTGCACATTTAAAATTAGGCTACAAGTTAGTCCATAAACCAACAAACTCTAACAACCGATTCTACATTTCAAATTATAAAAACCCTTGCCATGTCATTGGAGGCTTATGTGGTTGTTGCCAACATGGGACTCTTAATCCATGTTGGACACAACAAAAAGCTTATACTGAAATTGCCCTTTAATATTGGGTGATTGGAAAATAAAAAAAGAGTTTTTAGTTTCTCTCTCCCTCTCTCAATCTCCACCACACTCCCCCACTCACAATCATTTTTATCTGCTCAACAACTATGTGATTTGAAAATAAATAAAAATGGTTTTTGGCTTCTACATTTACATTCTCTATATCAATTTCTCTCATTCTCTCTCTACATATTGCTCTCCCTCAATCTCTCTCATTCTCTTTTTTTCGGTCAATCTCTAACTCTCCCTTAATTTCTATCATTCTCCCTCAGTTTCTCTCCCGCTCCCTCTCTCGTTTTTTTTTTTATTTTCTTACACACTTATATGGTATTAATCAAATCGTATAAAAGATATAAGACCAACTTGGTATGGTTCCAAAATTATTACACCAATTTGATAAAAATCCACAAGAAGCTCTTGGCTATGAAATTTACACCAATTGGAGAACAATAGAGATTGAGGGAGAAGGAGATATTGACCAAGAGGGAGAAGAATGAGAAAGATTGATGGGATACAATAGAGAGAGAAAGAGAGAGAGAGAGAGAGAGAGAGAGAGAGAGAGAGAGAGAGAGAGATGTTTTGATTTGATTACATACCAAAGTTAAGAGAGTGGGCGAGGCAGAGGGAACGAAGATCGAGAGATGATTGTGAGATTGATGTGAGGGAAAACAGATTTGGTCCTCACAGAATTGTCCTTACATTGTTATCACAGCCCCTTGTAGTCGTATATTGAGAATATTTCCAACAAAAACATACAAGTTCGGAGATATTTCCAATACATGGTTGCAAAATGATGTGAGGATGATTTTGTGAGAACCAAATATGAATTTGGTGTGATTTGTGAGGTGTGCTTTATGAAGAGCAAATCCCGATTCATCGTCATTGACACTAGTGATTGGAGGCTTGGAGTCCTCTCTCTCTCTCACACACACACATTAAAGATTCGGTCTGACCCCTTCAAGGGTTTGACTCTTTCAACTTTGATATGTCACTTTGGAAGAAACTAGGTCAATGGCCGGTTCAATTTTTTTAAAGGGCAAATTGCTAAAATCTTCCCTCAAGTTTGATAATTACAATCACCTCCCTTGAATTTTTTGACACAATTGAAAGTAGATTCATTTTGTTAGAATTCTCTAATAAAAGATACAAAAATGTCCAGAATACCTATATAATTACTATTTAAATTGGTTTTTATAAAAATAAAAAATAATATAATTCTATAATTGAAAAAAAAAATTTAAAGTTGTAGCTTTACCTTTGACCGATTGATAAGAAGGGCAAATTTGAAAAATAAATCTATTTCTTAAAAAGAGATTCAAAGAATTTGGATTAGCGATTAATATGAAGAGATGATTTGAAAATAAATATTTTGAGTAAAAAATAACTACATAGATATTTTTAGATATTTTCATGCGTCTCAGGATGTTAATAAAAGGGACTACTTACAATTATGAGGGAGAGGTGATTGTAATTACAAAATTTTAAAGACGGTTTTTTCAGGGGAGGTTTCAAAAATTTTAAGATATTAAATTAATTTGACGTCGGATAGATTTGAGGAATCCAGATCTATTGACTACGAACGCTGACCATAAGATGCCAGAGTTGGACATAGGAAGCATCACTCGTACTTACATGTTATCATTCATGAAAGATGATACCGATGTGCGGCTGTGATGTCCTGTTGTCGGAATATAGCCAATGTCTTATGGTTATGGTCAGCAGATCCGAAATCGCCCAATGGTCTGATTAGCTTTTGGATCGGACTTAGGTAATTGGGTTTAGGTTTTAATAATATAATCGAATTCAGCCTGGAACCGACCTGAATCCAACCCGATTACAGTCCTAGAGGCAACTGGCAAGACTTCCATTGCATTAGCTATACCTATATCTGAAAGTCAAACGCCGTCGTAATACAGTCGGACCGCCACTCCGTCAGAACATACATAGACCGAATTCCGACGAAAAAACAGGCAGCAGGCAGCAGGCAGCAACTCTTAGCCATTAAAGTCTGATATAAAATTCGATTGTTCAATCTCCCTGTTTGCGTGCGCGTGTGTTAATAAAGCCAGAAGAGAGTGGAGATGAATCGCAGTCGAGCATGATCAAATGGTCCTCTGTCGAGCTATCATCATCCATCTCTCTTTCCCGCAACTTCCGGAGAAGTAGAGGAGGGGGGGAGTGAAAGAGAAAGCGGAGAGCACAGATATATAAAACTCCTTGATGGGTATTGTAACAGGGCAGAGAGGTTCTAGAACAGGGACAACCCAAGAAGGAGTAGTTGTTGGTGGGGTTTCATCTACCAACAATAGGAAGAGATGGTCCAATCTGATGCCTATCGTTGTCGTCCTTGTCGTCGTTGCCGAGATCTCTTTCCTGGGTCGCCTTGACATGGCGAAGAACGCTGCCATGGTTAACACTTGGACCAATTCCTTCTACTCGGCCTCAACACGTGAGGAACCAGTGAAACACCAGGATGAGACTACCATGGGTGTCTTGGATCTTGACAACAACAGAGGAAAGGAGAGTTGCGAGGACTGGTTGGAGCGTGAAGACGCTGTAAGCTACTCCAGAGACTTTGACAAGGACCCCATCTTGGTTTCTGGTGCTGAAAAGGTTGGTGTTCTCTTTTCTCTTAATTAAGTGCTTTTGGTGCTTCTTGAGCAACTTTTGTTAGTATTGTTAAGTTCTCAATGGTTATGACACTAAATAATGCATATGGCGATACATTTTATCTAATTCATCAATTTGGTTAACAATTCTTCAATTTATTTCATGAAAATACAGAACGTGGGAAAATACCAGTTCAGAATTGCTAAACTGAACATGAAAGAAAGGAAGGAAGAAAAACTAGTTTTAGATACACCAATAAACAGTTTGAGACTGTAACGTTTAACCCAAAATGATAGTCTTAATCTTTGTAACAACATAGCAGGCCTCTCAAGTAAACCATCTTAGTTAGATGAAAGTGCATCTATACTTTTGATCGCATTTCAAGTTAGAAAACTAGGATTAAGTGGCGTTATTGTTCGATTTCAGATCTAAAGTTTGATTCTTGATGAGATGACAGAGATCATGATGGACTAGAGTGCCTTTTGCATTTTTGTATGGATATTTTTGTAAATTTTATTTTGAGGACTGCAAGAAGAAATGAACTTCCAATCCTGTCATCTCGGTGGATCTAATTATTCTAACTCTAGAAGCAGTCAGAACCACAGAAGGGATTAACAGCCAAAAAAGAAAGGAAAGAGTTTGTAATATCCTTGAGAAAATGCAGAGTTGAAGTGAAAGATTTGTGGGTAGAAGTCATGAAAAGTCCATGAAATCTATGAAATGTATTTTTAGCAAAGAGCTGATCCCAGTTCCATTAATCACTCTTATTTTTGAAATTCCTTCTAGAGCAGTACAAGGAGTTCTTTTAAGAGCATTTGGAAACATGTAAACATTTGGGGACCTTTTTCACTTTTTTTTGATGAATAAGTAATTTTGTTAAAGAGAATAAAGAAGAGTACAAACAGCCTTGGAGGAGACACAAGATGATACCTCCCCTTTAGGATGAGTACAGACCCAAGTCTTATCAATAAACAGAACAAAACTATAGATTAGCCCAATACAAAGAAGCCCAAGAAACCCCTTGTTTAGCCAAAGAGTTTGCCAAGGTATTTTCTGATCTGCTAATCCACTGGATGTTAATTGACATATTCCTTGTGATCCATTTTACTTTTTTCAGGAGATCTTTGTAGCCCCAAACAGCACTGTTTGGATTCAGCACCCAACCCACTACCACCTTGGAGGTCTCCTTTTACTAGTAGGTTCTGCACCCCAAGTTGGTTAGCAATCTGTAGGCCTTGTAGAGCTTCTAGTATTTCAGCCCTTGTTGAGTCTACTGTCTCCAACTCCCACTGGACTTGAGAAGAAAGGGATAACATTGCTGTCTTTGTCCCTCAAGACCCCTCCAATGCATGAGGGCCTTGGGTTGCCTTGGCTGCTACCATCAAAGTTCAGCTTTACAACCCCTTCTGGAGGAGGTGTCCACCTTACTTGTGTCCTATTCTTCTTAGAGCCTATGGAAGCCACTGTTGCCCAGCCCCTCTGAATATCATCATAAGAATTGTAGAGTTGTAGGGCAGTAATGCCTTTATTTATATTGCTGTTAGTAGGGGAAATATTGTAAGTGTACTTTTTTTAAGTTATTATATATATAACTGAGTGGGGTGGCAAGCCTATTCATTCTCTTCTCTGAAATCTTTCTCTTTGACTTCTCTCTTCTCTTTCTCTCTCCCTCTTCTCTCTCTCTCTCCCCCCCCCCCTATTCCATTCTCTGTTTTGAATTCTCATCTAGAGTAGAGCTGACCTCAGTCTCTACTAGACAACTTGGTATCAGAGCCAACCTAGGGTTTCTCATGAGAGTCTAATCAGGTCGACTGCATGAGAACTTCCTAGGGTTGGAAGTTTTAGCAAGATTTGGCAATCAGCTGGTTCTTGGAGATCATTGGCAGAGTGCAGCACCTTTTCAAGAGATATTTGGAGTCTTGGAAAGAGTTCAGTGATCAGGAAGAATCAGAGAGAAGGAAAGAAACTTGAGATTAGGGTTCAGACTGAGGATTGGAAGTGGCAGCCCGTGTTTTCTGGGTAAGTTTCGATCTTTTCTTGAAATCGGCTCCAATCAAGAATTGATCAGAGTGATCTGGGAGATTGCTGTACCAAAATGGGTGCTGTGTAGAGTGAAAAGTAATAAAATGGTAAGTTGGAGAGCACTGTTTATTAAAGTGATCTTACCACCCTTAGAGAGATGTTGTCTTTTTTCACCCAGCTAGCCTTCTAATGAACCTTTCTATGACTCAGGTCCACAGATCCTTTGATTTATATTTAGCTCCAAGTGGAAGACCCACAAACTTGGATTGTAAATTACCTCTCTGACAACCTAGAGTGTTTTCCAACTCATCAGACTTTGACACATTCCCTATAGGAATGAGCTCAATTTTTTGGAAATTCATTTTTAGGCCAGTTGCAGCATCAAAACATATGAGTAAGCATCTTAAGAATAGCACATCTTTATATCTGCCCTAGAAAATAAGATTCAATCATCTGCATTTTTTTTTGATAAATTGAATCATCTGCAAATTGCAATAGAGCTACTTGTGGGCTGCTCTGATCTTGTTTTGAAGCCCTCAATCCAACCACCTTCCAGCCCTCACTATCCACCATATTGTTCAATGATTCAACAACTATTATGAATAGGAATGGAGATAACAAATCTCCCTGTCGGATGTCCTTTCCCCTTGCAGAATAGCATCTAGGGAGACCATTCACGAATATAGAAAACATTGCACTTGAGAGGCAAGCTTGAATCTATTTCCTCCATTTGACTACAAAGCCCATTCTGCAAAGCATGTACTCCACAAGCTCCCATTGAATGTGATCATAGGCTTTTTCCATATGTAGTTTAATCATCACCTCTAGTTGTCCCATCCTCAAGCTTGAATAAATGCATTCATTTGCAATTAGGGGTCATGCAATATTTGCTTGCTATCAACAAATGCCCCCTGGGATGGGGAAATGATACTACCCATCACCTTTCTCAGCCGGTTAGCAAGCACCTTAGGTATCATTTTGTATATACTACTGATTAAAATGATGGGTTTAAAAATTTTCAACTCGGTAGCACCTTGCATCTTTGACTTAGTGCTATACATGTTGCATTAACTTCTTTGGAAATCATCCATTATCTTCATGCAGTCATTAGAGGTAAAAATATTTCCCCTTTCCCCAAAAAGAACTGAAATTATAAATGTTTTTTTTTTGCTAAACATGAATTTTTCTTGCTAACTTTTTTTTTTTTTTTAAGTTCTTAGTGTCCTTTGTTGGATTCTGTGGGTTTGGAAGATGACCTACCTTTGTTTGTAGTTCCTCTTTGCTTTGATGGAAAATTTCCTCTTTGGAACAAAGAGAACATCCTTCAAACTCTGTTCACTGAGTTTTGTCTTTTAATATTGTCATTTATTCCAGCCTCGGTTGCTACTGTCTTGGAGAAATTGAGGAGGGATTTCTTATGGGATGGTCCTAGTGAGGAGAAGAAAATTCATATGGCTTGGGATTCTGCTTGCACTCCAAAAGAGTTGGGTGGTTTGGGTTTTAGAAGGTTGAGATTGATGAATGATGCTCTGTTGTTCAAATGGCTGTGGTGGTTTGGGGAGGTCATTGCGTGCAAATATGGTAAATCTCTGATGGACTAGCTTTCACTTGCACCACAACAGTCTTATGGCACTAGTGTTTGGAAAGGAATAATGGCCCAGCTCCCATTGTTTCAGCAACATGTTTCCTTTAAAGTGGGGGATGGAAGTAGAATCTCTTTCTGGAATGACTTTTGGTGCTTGGATCAGCGTCTATCCGAAGTGTATTGTCCTCTTTATTCATTATCTGTGAACAAGGAAGGTGCTGTTAAACAGTTCTTTGAGCTGATTAGTGGCCAGGTGGTGTGGGTTCCCAGATTTCGTAGAAATCTAAATTGACTGGGAGGTGGATCTCTTGCGAGAGCTGTTAAGCAGTTTGCTTGCTATCCAACCTAATCCTAATTCTAGGGATGTCAAGCTGTAATCGAAAGGGATGAAGGGTCGGTTTTCAGTCAGTTGTTGCTACAAGGTTTCTTTTGGCGAAGGCAACAGGTCCCGTGGTTCTGGTTGTGGAAGGTTCAGGTTCCGTCGAAGATCAAGTTCGTTGTCTGGTAGGCTGTTAGGGATAGGGTCCAATCTGCTGCATATCTGCTGAGACGTGGAATGGAGCTGGATGCCACCTGTAGCCTCTGTGTGGGGAAGGATCTGAATCCATCCATCATCTTTTGATTCACTGCACCTATACCTACCAGGTTTGGTGTCATTTCATTAGGTTGTTCCACCTAGTCTGGGTTCCCCTCTCTCCTCTGAGGCCGATTTAATCAAGGTTTAAAATGTCGATGTCGATGGAAATGTCGCTTACCA